GCCTTTTATGTATTTCAAGTGAATTTTTATATAAGGATGAGGGAGGGAAAGAAAGAGGGGCTTGCTTAGTTTAACCTAGGTGTAACCCCACCAAGTCATTCCTGTAAGCTGTCTGCTGAGAATGATGGTGACAGACCAACCATCAACTCGGGCAATGTGATGTATTGTTCTTTTACCGAGTTCCACACGTGTGCCTGGCATGTGTCCACTCCTCCACCCTCAACTAATAAATACATGTAACAAAATAAGTCAGACAATAATTCCATGTGTGTTTGTCATTGTCAACAGGTATATGTGATGCAGAGTGTTAAAATAATGTCTCTTCATAAGCTCAAGTGAGAAATCTAAACTGGGCAATTTATGTGTTTTGTACTAGATTCTGATTGAGAAGGTCAACTTTAGAAGCCTGTTCAGAATAGTGTGTTACCAAATGACTTTGCTTCCTGTTTCTATTTAAACCACTTTCCCCTCCTACCATGTAGCAATTCTTTTAAGTTTACATGTATTTTGAGATATATGAAATACATTCTTGTCTAATCTCCACCTTGAACCAGGTGTCATCTCTTACTTTGCCATGGATACACCCAGATACCACAGTTCAACACAGTTGCCCATCTGATTAAGAACTAGCAGTAACCTGTCTGCCATAGACTTTGTGGTTTTAACTTCACCAGCTCTCTGGTAGCCTGCTGTCAATCACTTTATTCAAATGACCTATGTTTGTAGCACGGCTGTAATCTTTCAGGGCACTTTCATTATAGAAGCACAAAGAGCTCAGCAGGCAGAAATTCAAAGTAATTGATGAGCATCCTCCCTCCTAGTGGCTAAAATCCATGAGAGGCACTGGGTTATTTCCTCTCCAGCCTGTGTTTCAGAAGCAGTGGCGTGTAGTTATCAGTCCAGAAGAAACAGGGCATAGAGGTAGGTTCACAATCCAGACTGCTTAAGTTCAAGATTTTATGCATCAGTCAAATGCCATGCAACATGGCCTGAATGGGGAAAAGATCTATTTCTCCCAACATTGAAAAATAAAAACAAAAAATGAACAAAACAGTAAGAGAGAAACAAATACAGAATAATCTCCCTCTGCCCCGATTTATAAAATGTTGCTGCAAATACATGTGTACTAACACCTGTGCTTATTTGTATGTAGCCATAGAATTTTATAGTGTATGCACCCCATTAGTGTGTGAAATCAAACTAAAAATAATTTAAAAATAACACGGGACCAGAAATACTTCGTAAGATGTACAGAAGCAATACCTAGCCCAGCTCACTTCTCCCAGTCCCCAAAATGTTTAAAAACAGCCCATCTTGACATGCAAGACATTTTCCTTATTGTGGGGGAGGAAAGAAGGGAGGGAGGAAGGGGGAGGAAGAGAGAGAGACTGGGAAGGAAGGAGAGAGAGTGGGAAGTAGGGAGAGAGACTGGGAAGGAGGGAGAGAGACTGGGAAGGAGGGAGGGAGACAGGGAAGGAGGGAGAGAGACTGGGAAGGAGGGAGGGAGACAGGGAAGGAGGGAGGGAGACAGGGAAGGAGGGAGAGAGACTGGGAAGGAGGGAGGGAGACAGGGAAGGAGGGAGAGAGACTGGGAAGGAGGGAGGGAGACAGGGAAGGAGGGAAGGAGAGGGAGGACCATTGTACCTTTCAGGTTTGCACATTTTCAGCTTACTGTCAAGGAAACCTGAGATGGGATAAGCTACTTTCCAAAGGCCAACACATTTGTGCTCTGTAACTTACCCTTAGGGGGACTGTAAAGGAGGCCACTGCTATGGGCTGATTCATTGAATCATATGAGCCAACATTTAACTTCTTCCTCTTTTACTCAAAAAATCTGTTGAAATACGAGTTAATCATTTCATTTCATTTCATTTGGGGGGTTGTGGTCAGAGTCTGTCTTATTGTGTAGCCCAGGGAAGCACTGAACTCATGGTCTCAGAATCCTAAGTACTGGCAGGTGGGTAAGAACCACCACACCTATCTAGTAATTTATTTTAAAGGCAGCAAAGTTAATCTTTGGGAAACAATCAGCTATTTTATTTAACTTACCAGACTCTGATTTCCTTGTTCATCATCTGAAAATCTCTTTTATGACCCCTCCTGTGCATTTCAGTTAGTTGGTTTTCAGTCCTTTTCATGTTGTAATTATCAAAGTTCTCTTAAGGCAATTTTAAGATTATTCCATCAATCTTGTTCTTTTCTTTTAATTTATGTGGTGGAATTTACTTGCTCATTGGTGTGAGTAATTTTCAATATCTTGCCAAACAGCCTGTAGCAAGTGAAAATACAAGTTGCATATATTAGAATTTTCTGTTTGAGAGGAATAAAACAAAAACAAATTATGCAGCAAAGTGAATGTCATTGGATTGCAGGCACTCATGACTAATTAAAAACTTCCTTTTTTATCTGTAATTAAGAAAACAAATTTGCCCTACATATTTGAGAGGCCCTAGAACACAATGAGTCCTGTGGCTACAATGCTCCATTTGACTTTATTGCTATTGGTGTTATTTTTACCACAAATCAGCATAAATGCCTCACATATCATTCAGCGTCTTAGTCCAGAGCCTACTGCATATACCTACAGAGCATATATCTATAGATATATGGAGGAAGTACTTAACAGTCCAGTCTTATTGTTTTGATGGACTCAGATCACTCTTTGAAGTTCAACTCATGAAGAAGGGCTCACTGGTTTCATAATGTATTACAGAAATTCTTCATTGGCTCAGAACATTTAACACATGGTGGTGGCTTCGGAGGTGTAAAAGTGTATTGTCAGGTAGGGGTGTCTGATGAGTCATGGGGAGAGCCAGCATGGCCTGGATCCCAGGGCTGGTAAAGTTCTATTGAAAGCAGCTGCCTCAGTATAGTGCATGAACAGAAGAGGGCAATTTGGGATACATTGTGTCTTCTGGTGGCAGCAACATCTGGTCCTGCTAGGAGGTACTGGGTGGGGTCCATGAAGTGTATTAGTGTTGGCCATGTGATTCCTCTACCAACTGCAGAGCACACAAAAGCTATAAGGAGATCAAGGGAGGTATGAGAGGTTCAACTACTACAAGAGTATAGAAAACTCTTGTAGTCCAAATTGAGGCTAGAAGTATGGACTTACTTGTTCACCTCTATGTATCTTAAATGCTGGGATGTTCATTGTTGTTACATCCCTGTGATGGAATCCAATCCAGCCTCAGGCCCGTTCTTAGTGTATGCTCATTTGGCAAAGCGGGGGCTTCAGCTTGTCATGATGGAAAAGTGACTGGGATTGAAAGTCATTGGCATTATTCAAGAAAATTCATTATCTTGTTATATGCAAAAATGATTTCCTCCATTTTGATTTTTTTAAATAAATGCATTTGTGTGTGTGTGTGTGTGAGAGAGCGAGAGAGAGAGAGAGAGCGAGAGAGAGAGAGCGAGCGAGAGCGAGAGAGAGAGAGAGAGAGAGAGAGAGAGAGAGAGAGAGAGAGCAGGTTCCTCAGGAGGCCAGAACACTGAGATTCTCTGTAGCAGGAGTTACAGTTGTTTGGGGACTATCTCAGGAGGGTTCTGGGAATGGAAGTTCTCTGCAAGATCAACAAGCACTCTGAGCCGCTGAGTCATTTTTCCCATCAGATTCTTACATGTCTTTACATATAATTTATAATGGTAGTAAAATTTTAAATTGTTGTAAAAGCATGTATTTTCACTTTTGATGTTTATACTAAAGTTTGGAGTGATTGTTACCAAAGTGTCTATTAGTTATTGTTTCAAATATAAAACTTGATGTGATGCAAGGTAAGTTTGTGAAAACAAACTTCTCGTAAAAATGATTTTATGTGGGATGCCGTGCAATTAATCATTTGAATATTTTAGTTTCACCTTTTTATTTTAATTTCAGGAAGTGTAAGTTTCACCATTTTTTTTAACGATACAAAGAGAACATAGTTGCATTTTCAACTCATCGCCAGGGGGCCTCATCAATCTCTCCTGGCTTTCTTAAAAGCTTTGGTTAACACAAGCCACTGGGGCTTTTCAATGATTCACACTGCAAAGCTGAGAACTGGGGCTCCCCTGCTGCCTGAGATGGACATGCAGTTGACTCCTCATTAACAAGGTCATTCCCAACTTGTAATTTAAAGATGTTGCTGTAACCACGCCTTGTTAAAGACAGGTGCAATCTTTTCACTGGACTACACACATCAGGCTGGAAAAGGAATCCAACAGGGGTCCATTTAGTGGACGTTTACTGTCCTACCCAAAATTTTCCCAGATATGGTCTAGTAGGAAGAGTTCAGAAACTTCCCTTTTCCAGACTCTGCATCCAGCTAGTCAAGGGTTGTTCGGGTGGACCGCCCATTCCAGACCCAATCCTCCTGGTGCAGGCTGAGTCCGGGTCTCTGGGATTTTCTGGGGATAGCCTTTCAGCCTCCCTGCAAGGCCAGTTGCTATAAACTGTGAACTCAGGCCAGCTCCTTGAAACTTCACAGAAGGCTAAGGCGTTCCAGGACACACACAGGTTGTGGCCAACTGCCCAGGGGGGGCGGGGATTGCTCTCTACTCTCAGTTGCCCTTCAGGTTCTGAGCCCTGGGGGCCTGGCAGTAGCAGAATCATGTGGGCACCTGGTGCAGTGGCCTAGGAGCTGGTGCCCCTCCCGCAGCCTCCTCCAGGATGTTGATCTCCGCCTCAGCTTGGAAACTTTTTCTTTCACTTTTCTTTTAGCTGGGGTTGGGACTCCCGGGCTGGAAAGGGCACTGGGAAACTGGGGAAACCCCAGCTGATTCGCCCCTCTTACCTCGATTGCTCACACTGGCTGCCACTTTGCACCCTACAGCCAGAATTCGATGGAGGTACAGAATGGGAGGTGGTGGTGCTGGTGGTGGTGGATCAACAATGGAATTTTTCCCGAAAGCCTACGCCCGGGGCCCCTCCCAGCTCTGGCTCTGCTCAGGCACCCTTCTCCCCACCAGCTGTGGGCCAAGCCGCCCCGCCCTCTTGACCCAGACTTCAGTACTCAGTGGCACTATATGCAGAGTGTTTTCCTTCTGTCCAGCCATTCTTCTCCGGGGTTCTCCTCTACATCCTCCCCGGTCCTCTTGCGAGCCTCTCCAGCTCGCTGTGCCCCGCTGTTTTAGGTGTACCTCGCTCCACGCTGCAGGGACCTGGCCAGGGCAGGCCCAGGGGGAGCAACGCGTCCGTCTGCCCCCGCCAGCTGGAGAGTTGGACGAAGACTGGATCCTGCCGCTTGGAAGGCTGAGTTGTCCATCTAACTGAGCTCAGAGAGGTCAGGAAAGGTACCAGAGCTTCTCTCCTTACCACATTCCCTTTCCAAACTTCTGCTGGCCCTCGTGAATGGATGCATGCTCTCCCCTCTCTCTCTCTCTCTCTCTCTCTCTCTCTCTCTCTCTCTCTCTCTCTCTCTCTCTCTCTCTCTCTCTCTCTCTCTCCCTTTGCAAATATCACCTCTTCCTTGATGAAGGTGCGTCTTCTAGGGAAAGAAATGTGCAGAGATAGTCATAGGTCTTGGTCTGTGTTAGCGACAACTTAACTCGAATCACCTAAAGCTTAGTTGTCTGTAATGCCAGATCGAAGGGAAGCGATGCTGGAAAATTGTCCTGAAATCAAATCTGTGTTCACGGGGGCATTAGATGAAAACCCGGCTAATCTTTTCTAGTGGTGTTAAGACTGCAACGCTGCAAGAATGCAAAGCGCAAAGAATTTTTATAGCTCCTGCATTTAAGTTTATGCTAACTTCCAAGGAGAGGGAAACATGTAGACACTGCAAAGGATGCAGGTCCCAGACTCGTAACAGAGTCAGAGTGGAAATGGAAACAAAGTGACTGTCTGAGGCTATTTTCCAATGACGATTTTAAACTTATTTCTGATACTCTCGTTAGTGGCAGGTCTCTTCCAGTGACATATCAATCACCTTCACCCCCCCCCTTTTTTTTTAACAAGGGAGATCAGATTGAACTGGCTGGGTTCTCCAAGTTGATTTAGTAAATCATCAGATTAGTAAGATTAGCCATCTTTCTGTGTGGAGGCTGCAAGTTAGATCCTCATGAATATTGAATAATTTAGAGGATTTCCCTAGGAAAGCTGAGGGGGCTTCGCAAGAGAGGAAGCCACTCTAGAAGGAATGTTAACAGAAGTAAAGGACAAGAGACCCAGCATTAGTCATTTGAGGCTTTTATGGGAAAAAGATAAAATGAGGAGTTTTACTTAAAACGTTGAAGCATCAGAAAGTGCTTCAGGCATGTTATAAGTGTGTCTGCATGTCCTGACATTATGCTTCTCTCTCTCTTTTCTCTTCTGGGAGTTTGCAGTCCGACTCCCATGGGTTCCTTTGCTTTGTGATCTGTTTTGCAACATGATAGGGGTTAGCTTTTCCCTAGCTCACGCAGGCTTTGCACAGGTTGGATATTACTGCTGGGGGCAGCTTTACAGTATGATGGGAAGCTAGTTCTGGCTGGAATTTTCCTGTAGATTGCTGTGGGTTAAAGGAAAAATACAATGGTGCTTTCTTATTTAAATTTTGTTTCAATTATAGGGAATGTCAGTAACTGTATTGCCTGCTATAAAATTTGTCAGTGACAAAAATTTTTATAAACTAATTTTAAAGATAAAAAATGACTTATAGTTATTGAAACAGAATTTAGAGACTAAAAAATTTTGACCTTGGCAAGCACTCCAGCCAAGGTGTACTGCTCCTCAGCAATTTCAGGAGAGCTGAAAAAAGAACTCTACAAAAATTTGTAGATTTTCCTGAGGGAAATGTTTGCCGCTAATCAGCTCTATAAATGAGTGTCCAATTCAAGCCCTTTGAAACATTGTAGACTTTAGACCTCTGTCTGGTGTCTTCTGGATTTCTCTGCTTTTTTTTTTTTTCTGTAACTATTCTTCTGAATACTGGTTGATGACAACACAGGAAACATTGTCTTCAGTTCATAGTCTGAATTTCCCGAAGTAACACAAGTAATGGCCAACAACTTAAATTCTAAGCTCCAAATATTGTCCATACTGTACATATGTAGTACTCAGTAAATATAAATAATAGTGCATATGGTAATTAGTATGTAAACTAACTCAATAACTTATGCAAGGAAACAGGGCTTGGGAGGGTTGACTTCTTCCAATCCAAACAGACTTAAGGTTGCAATGTTGATTAAAGAGTGAATTATTCCCATTGGACTATTTTCCACAGTTTGACAATGACAATTGCTATTTCATTTGGGCCAATGTTATGGTTCTAGACTTTTGGTTTCAAATTACTTCTGTAGCTGACATTATTAATTGTATATTTAAAGATTATAGTCACATAATATCTGTATATATTTGATTCCCTTAGAGAAATTTATAGTTCCTGAATGAAAATATCTGCCTAATGTATATCAGTTTTTTGATAATAATTCATAATGAGCAAATCTGGATTGATTTCTGGATCTGAATCCCTCTACTTGTCATTCCAGCCACCAAGTAGGAAGGTAGGACTTAGAGATGGGAGAAGAAGTTTCTCCCATTGCATCATGACCGGGGATGCAATGGCTACGCTTTGTGATGGCTTCCTTAGAAGGCCTAATGTGGTAGGCTTGGCAAGGAGCCATTTTCTTTCTCTTTGTCTCAATGTTAGCTCTAACATGCCTCTATTCAGTGGTTCTGGCAACAGCAAGAGATGGCTGCAACTCAACATTGCATGTGTCTTGTGCTAGTTTTGCATTGGTAGGAAGAAAAATTATATAGATGTGTTGAGAGAAAATTAGTGGGTTTTGGAAGAACTAGAATACAATTAATTAATAATTATTTTGTATTGTGTTTCAGCTAACTAATATCAAAATTACATATGCATGTGTATATGCATTTATTTACGTATCTTATATGTTTGAGTGTGTGTGTGTGTGTGTGTGTGTGTGTGTGTGTGTGTGTGTTAGCAGCTGTCTGGAGATAGAAGGGCTATTTTAAATTGTATTCAGATTTTATTGAATGGAAAAGCAAGGTTAGCCTAGAAATCCTGACTTGAGATACTGAAGTAAAATTTGTTAGCAACATGTTCAGAAGGAATCAAATGTGAACATGAAAGTTACTAACCAGAAGGCTTTGGTGCCTCAGGCACCATGTTGGCATGTCATAGGCACAGCCTCATTGAACTCTAATGTATTCCATGTTTATTCCTTCTTATAAAAAAGGAAACAAGTGGTGCTGCCATGCCCTTCCATGTGAAGTACGATCCAGCTAGGGAGACATTGGTCTACTTAGAATACAGCTAGTCAGACACCTCTGAGGTTAAGACTGACTCTATCAATGCTGGGTTTTTGTGGGTTTCATGTGCTTTATGTGCAGTGCAGTGAGAAATAAAAACACAAGTCTATGCCAGGAAGCTGGCATTAGCCATCATTTGAGTGATCATTTTGCTTTGTATTAGACAATGCTGTCTTTCTAAAGTGTTATTTCAGGCCAGCAATGTGGCTTTTTGAGAAAAGGAGCTGGCCACATAAGCTTGAAAACTTGAATTCAAACCATGGAACCCATGTAAATGTGGAAAGAGAACCCAATCCATGCAAGTTGTCCTCTGACCTCACACATGTGCCTTCCACCCCTACTGTGAATACATACACAATGATAATAAAAGTTAATTGAAAGTAAGGTATCCAGTGCTAGGGTCAGATTAGTAAAGTGAGGGGTTTTTTTTTTGTTTTGTTTTTGTTTTTGTTTTTGTTTTTTTTTGTAATTTCTATTGTCATTGTCTATACACATTCTCCTGGAGCCAGTGTGCTTGTGTAGAGCACTACAGAGAATCAGTGTGATGGTGACCTATGTATCTGAGTGTAAATATGTGTACTTTCTCTAAATGTGAATTTCTTCTACGTCTGGGTTGCAGAATGATAAAGATGATTTTGCCAAATGAAGAAATAGAAACTGAAAATGATCAAGGGTGGTGCTGGGGGAAGGGATGAACACAGGATTGGTGGGGGAAGGGACCTGTATTCATTGTTGTGACACAGAAAGAGGCCCTGAGAAGTCCTTGGTGTTCAGTAACACTGAGTCATAGTTCTTGATAGACAGTTATCTCTTATAATTTCCACCTGAAATGTACAAAATGAAACAGCCCTTGAGAACTCATGACTAAGCTCAGAGGTGCTCAAGGAACGTTCCCTTCACTGGAAACCTTTATAGTTAAATGTATGTTTTTCCAACTTTGTTTTGTGTTTATGTTGGATATTTATTTATCATTTATTTTCTGTTGAGACGGCATTTCTCATAGGCCTAAAAGTCATTAGTAGGGATGGGCTAGTTGATTAGTAAGCTCTAGAGAACTGCCTGCTTCTGCCTTCCCAGCATTGGTAAGATTGCAATCACAGGTTAACATGCATCACTTTTTTGAGAAGTATGTTCTGGGGTCAAACTCGGGTTTTCAGGCTTATAAGGCAAACACGCAATAACAGAACAATCCTTTCTCTAGCCCTATTGTTTCAAACTTTTGTTCTTACCACCATACAACAAAAATAAGTACATAAAATGAAAATTAAATATTATCATTAATACATGGTATTATTCAAAACTACTCTTTTGGGGTTATTTTAAATATTCTTAATGCATAATTCAAATAATCTGCAAACTTTTAATAAGTAAGAACTAGGCATTAAACTAAGATCATATTGGGAATATGGACAAGCAGTGGGCAAGACACTAATGTCAAAGCTTTGATTAGAACCATTTCCTATATGAGCTTTTCCCCTGTATCTGGCACTCTAGAACATCAAGGTACTTGGTGAGACTTTGAGAGGGAGAAGGGTGTGTCTTTCTTTGCAAAACAGGAGAAGGGTAGTCATGAAAAAGGGTAAAGGGAATGTAGAACTCAGGCTCCTTTGCACAGTGGCTGTGGCTTCTTTTAGTTACTTTAGAACCGTGTGCCTTCTTCCTCTTTATCAAGTCATAGGATACTCAGGAGAGCTGTGATCTAGTTCAGCCTTATCTTCATATATACCCTGCTGGGGGAGGAAGCTTCCAGATCACCAGGCAGAGTGGGGGCAGGAAAGAACCCAGTTTGACTGCTGTGGAGGGTCCCCTGGTGATTAATAGAACTGAGTGTCTGTATGGCTTGAATACTCAATGCTTCCTCATCATATCCTATTGACCTAGCTCCCACCATGTTGCCTCTGCTCTTCTATGTATTTGTCATTCCATCATACTTCAGGTGTCATGCCTAGGTGAATCTGTGAGTGCTGTGTTCAGTGAGAGATGCTGTTTCAAAAAACAAGGTGGAAAATGATTGAAGAAGATATCTAATATTCATCTC